ACAATGATAACAAGCCCGCCATTACCACCCTAGAATGATCATAACAATGATAACAAGCCGCCACTACCCGCCTAGAATGATCATAACAATGATAACAAACCCGCCACTACCACCCTAGAATGATTATAACAATGATAACAAGCTCGCCACTACCACCCTAGAATGATTATAACAATGATAACAAGCCCGCCACTACCACCCTAGAATGATTATAACAATGATAACAAGCCCGCCACTACCACCCTAGAATGATTATAACAATGATAACAAGCCCGCCACTACCACCCTAGAATGATTATGATAATTATAACAAGGCCGCCACTACCACCCTAGAATGATTATAACAATAATAACAAGCCCGCCACTTCCACCCTATAATGATTATAACAATGGTAACAAGGCCGCCACTACCACCCTAGAATGATCATAACAATGATAACAAGCCCGCCACTACCACCCTAGAATGATTATGATAATTATAACAAGGCCGCCACTACCACCCTAGAATGATTATAACAATAATAACAAGCCCGCCACTTCCACCCTAGAATGATTATAACAATAATAACAAGCCCGCCACTTCCACCCTAGAATGATTATAACAATCATAACAAGCCCGCCACTACCACCATAGAATGATTATAACAATGATAACAAGCCCGCCACTTTCACCCTATAACAATTATAACAATGGTAACAAGGCCGCCACTACCACCCTAGAATGATTATAACAATGATAATAAGCCCGCCACTACCACTCTAGAAAGATTATAACAATGATAACATACACAGATGTAAAATGATTGCGCTGATTTTATTCTGAAAGTAATCACTGAACTTGCTTGCTAAGTCTTTATCAGAATTACAGCTTGGTAGGATAATCACACCTTCCTGTCCCATTAGGTTTGGGAATGATTATAACAATGATAACAAACCCGCCACTACCACCCTAGAATGATTATAACAATAATAACAAGCCCGCCACTACCACCCTAGAAAGATTATAACAATGAAAACAAGCCCGCCACTACCACCCTAGAAAGATTATAACAATGATAACAAGCACGCCACTACCACCCTAGAATGATTGTAACAATGATAACAAGCCCGCCACTTTCACCCTATAACAATTATAACAATGGTAACAAGGCCGCCACTACACTACCACTCTAGAAAGATTATAACAATGATAACATACACAGATGTAAAATGACAATTAATGATAACATACACAGATGTAAAATGTACTTCCATGGGAGGATATTGCATACCTTAATTACACTATATAAAAGTGTCTTCCAGCATATTTAATAACTGCTGATAACTATCACAATTGATGTTGTACACAAGGAGGTCCTACTTTTATACTCATCTCCAACACACTTCCAATATTTCCGACCTACTGGCCAGTTTTGTGAAAATGCACTTATATAAAAGTATTTTTTTACACAAATACTGACAACTTCAGTTCAAATATTTTTTATATACTTCAGTACCCTAACTAACGCCTGCTGATTGCATACTCTGAGGTGACACTCTCGAGATCACATCTTTACTGTGCAGCCTTAGATCTTCTCATTTCAGAATCAACGCTAATTTTCGTACCGACTGGCAGAATTCCTGTATTTTTGCGATCTCGTTTGTTCTTTGATTATGTCCAATAAAGAGGCACTGTATGTCATCCTTGCAATTCGTTACAGTTTGACTTTGCGATCCTGAACCAAACAAAAAAGTTACCTTAAGCTTTCAGATCTGTCATGAGAAAATGTGAGGGTGAACAGAGGATATGTATCGAGAGCGTATCACTCTGATTTCGGAGACGGTTGATTTGCTGATATGAACATTTCAGTTTAATCGTATTTTTTCAACACTATTTCATAACCGGTTTGCAATACTTTCCGCAACAGCTTCTTACTTTCTCACTTGGCAAAACAAAATCCCAATAACTTAAACAATAAGCTTGCAGTATATGCTCAACTGACTGTGCAATATAAATACACTAATGCTGTTACTTTTCTTATGTACGTTTTGATATAATCTGTTTTTCATCATTAACAATAATTTTCGCAATATCATAAGAATGTGTACATTACATTGATAGATGCTACACATGTCAAAGATTGTTCAGTTGTCTTGTTGATTTGTTGTTCTTGGTTCAGCTGTCTTGTTGACTTGTTGTTCTTTGTTCAGCTGTCTTGTTGACTTGTTGTTCTTTGTTCAGCTGTCTTGTTGACTTGTTGGTCTTGGTTCAGCTGTCTTGTTGACTTGTTGTTCTTGGTTCAGCTGTCTTGTTGATTTGTTGGTCTTGGTTCAGCTATCTTGTTGACTTGTTGTTCTTTGTTCAGCTGTCTTGTTGACTTGTTGTCAATAATAAACTCTTTATGAGTTGTTATGTTTATTCTTTCAAACAAAAACGATAATTGACGAAACAGCGCTGCATGATACCTGTCCCATTGCAGGCGAAACACTAGAGATTTTCATGGAAGTATTCTTTTAAACATGCAGCAATGACCCATAATTTCAATGTTACCTAATATAACTGTAACACTCACTGGGCTCGGGAACTACTGCTAATGAGGTAGCTGAGTTGGTAAAAGCAACGGTCCGGGTTCTTAACCCGGCCTGGCCTTGTTGCATTAAATATTACTCTCAGAACACTACTGTTCATATCGCTCTTCATATTATTCATTTCATCTTCACTTGTGTTTTGATAAATGTTCCACATGAGAAGGAATTATTCAGACATAATTTATCAAAGATATTCACATGTTTTCTATGACATTGGCACCGCTGCCATCGTATGACATTGCCGCTATTAAACTGACATTCAGCTTACATTCATATCGGCTTTAAATGCCAACATCACATTGTCTACGTTATCATTAAAATTTCTACGTAAAATTCATGTTGGAAACCACTGATCCTCCCTGAACAGATAGTTATTCTATTTATTGGAAAAGCATAGCGGTATATATAACGATTTGAACGAAATGTTGAATTTTGATAAATAATTACAATTCTAAGGGATTGACATATTCTAAAATTTAAAAAAAAAATAAAAACAAGTATTGAATTGTCCCCAGTTAACGCTAAAAGAAGGAAAGCACTTTGGCCTGTTGGTATTTATATTGCTTGGGATTGCAGAAGGAAGGTTATTCAAGCCTTGAATATATTTTACATTGACATACACTGAAAAATTCTTTGACATTCCAACATATGTCGCTACCCATTGGATGTGGATCGCAGGTGGCGACTTTAGTCCCGTTTCAAAATGGGTTTTATAGTATGTGTCTTCTGCCTTCGAGACAACAAGAGTTATCTGCTGTTCACTTATTTAAACTCCTAAAACTTTTCTCTCTTTTCTCTCTTTATTACTGCTTTCTTTTCAAATGCGTCTACCCCCTACAGAATCGGCGGTGATTACTTTCAGAAATCAAGAATAGACCTGCTGTATCCCACAGCACGTGTATCGTAACAGGCAACTATTGTGTGGCCCCTGTAGAATCAGGGGTTCGTCCCTGTCTTCTACGAACGGGACATGCCAAGAGACCAACATTCATCTGCTGCCCCCTTTACAACACTTGGGATCTTTTTCGTTTCCTATCTTCTTTCTTTTCTATCTAATTTCTGTTTACCCGCAGCACCTCTGCATGTCAGGGATTGAGAAGAAAATACCCCTGCTGTTCCCAACTTGTTCTATCGTAAGTGGCAATTAATGTGGGGACCCCCTTCAGAATTAGGGATTTGCATTTATGCCCTGTTCTTGGGGACACAAAGGCGATCTGCTGTACCTATTGAAATATCTGGTATCTTAATAATTCTATCTGCTTCAAAAGGCGTGCAGGTTCGGGGAAAGTATCCCAGTGCATGGGTATAGTAGAAAGCCACTAATGTGGCCCTCTGCAGAATCGGAGATTACCTTCCGTGTCTTCTACGATGGGAACATGGAAGAGACCAAAATTGATCTGCTGCCGCCATTGCAATACATGGAAGTTTTTTCGTTTCCTATCTGTCCTGTCCTCTTTCTTTTCTATATACTTTCTGTTTTAGGTGGTGTCTCCCTAGGCATCCGTCCTTAAATGACCATGGCTGTTGTGTCTCCCTCGGCTCTTGTCATCATAACACCCTAGCTGTTGTGTCTCCCTAGGCACCCGTCCTTTTATGACCCTAGCTGTTGTGTCTCCCTAGGCACCCGTCCTTATATGACCCTAGCTGTTGTGTCTCCCTAGGCAGCCGTCCTTATGTGACACTGGCTGTTGCGAGGAATTTTCACCACAAACAAACAAACTCTCTACTTCAAACGATCTTTTGTTTCCTAGCGCCTTGCTTGGCAGTGCCTCTCTTTTTGCTTTTATGTTGAGCGTTCGCTCAGGTTAGGGAGATAATGGGTTCTGTTCCCAGGCCGGGATATACCAAAGTCCTTAAAATGGTTGCTAAACGTTAATCATTTAGGATAAATGCAACAACTGGTTCATCCTTTGGCAGTACATTTGTGACAGGGCGGACTGCTGTGCTTGGTACCTTTGGCATGGTATGTCAGTGAAATGGCACTTTTAAGACGAAATTAGACACGCGCCATCACAAGGAGCAAATACACGTACATACCCTGTCTCCCCTGTCTAGCTGTTTATAGGACGTTTAACAAAATAAAACCAAAACTTACCCACAGACCCAGTAGCTTGACCATATAAGGAAGTCCAAGAAACCCTATGCCGATATACCCTGGTAATATATAAAATATAACATATGTAAATAATATATAAAATATATGAAATATATTGGCTCTTATGTTCTGATAATATAGGTTGTTAGTATTATAATTGCTTAAATAAAATACCAGGTTGACAGTGTAACACACCTGAACATATTACAATGCATTTATGTGATGCTTAGACAAAGACGAGTTATATTCGTTTCAAATCCTGGAACAAGCCTGTCGTCGATATAAGTTGTAACAGGAATAGGTCAAACCGAAAGCGTTTGTCTTTTTTGTCTTTTGTTAAAGTTTAATTGTTTGAGCCACTTGTGTGTATCCCGATAAAATAAAAATGCACGAGCTACAACTAAGAGTACTTTTTGATATCCCAGCACCCACAGAGGTCTTCGCTAATTATGCAATTTAATAGGACAGGAAATACGTATTTTCGAATAGGAAGAAACCCAGAGAGCATTATTGCTCACTTTGATATTTAAGCAATCATAACAAAACATTATCATTATCATTATCAGAAGTGCAATCTATTAGGGTTAGGGTTAGGGTTAACCCTAACCCTAACCTTAACCCTGATCCCAAAGATTCTGCATAGCAAATCTTAGTTTCATATGCGCGTCATGGAAACAACATTGTGTAACAACATGAGATTCAGTCGCTTGGGACAGGGCAAGATCCTTGTGATAATCGTGGTGTAGTGCTTGTGATTTTTTCTTGTGGTCAGCTAGCATATAAAGTGATATATCGTGGCAATCTCAACCGTTTCCAAATTTTGACCATAAACGTTTAGTCCTTAGCAAAGTATTTCTTAATTGCTAATGTGCCTTCTATTTGGCGACACAAAAGCTACCAAAATAAAGCTGCTGCACCAATTGCAATATTTGGGATATTTATAATATTTCTCTCTTCTTAAAGCTACCTTTTATTTCCTAGCATCTTGCTTGGCAATGCCTCACGTTTGGCTTTCATGAGCCGTCGGAAAAGCAATTAACAATATAAAGTCGGCACCAGATTCGCGCTATTACAAGGAGGCAAAAACACCCACATACCCTGCCTCCAGCACACATTCACGCAAGCATGCATATATATACAACACACATGGAGGCACGTCCTTAAATGACCTCAGCTGTTGTTAGGACGTTAAACAAAATATGTTACCACACCAAACCCCAGGCAACTAGTTAACCCGTTGTCAGCATAAAGTGACCGGGTGAAATGCTGTGCTGGGTGCTCTTGGCATGGTATCTCAGTGCTCAGCGAGATAGCACAATAAAGTTGGATTCAGATCCGGGCTATAACAAGAGGCAAATACAACAACATACCCTGCCTCCAACACACATACATGCATACACAGCACACATGGATGCACGTCTTTAAATGACCTGAGCTGTTAATAGGACGTTAAACAGGGAAAATATCATCGTTTTAATACACCATGGATCTGACGATAGCGTATTTTCAAGATATTTGACACCAGTGGCCTTGAAAGGATGTCAGGGTAACTGACATGAGGAAGCTGTATTGCACTTCATCCCAGGTAGCTACATGGACAAATGGAAATTAAGAAATGTTTACCAATAAGAGCCAATGTTAACTTTTGAGCCCGGGAAGCTCTAATGGGAAGAAAAAGAAAACAAACATGAAAGAGAGAAGCGAGCAACAATGATTCGATTGGTCATCGATGATACCCTGTTTAATACGGGCTGTTTACAGTATTCATAATAAATTGTAAACAACCTTGGAGACCCGTAGCCATTTTCTGTCATCATTACATTACACGAAGTTGGAAGCGAGATTGGAATCGATATAGACCGGTCATGCCAAACAGGATGACTCCAAAATAGGATGACTCCAAAATAGGATGACCCCAAAAACAGGATGACTCCAAAAAAGGATGACTCCAAAACACCGATGTCATAGAACAAGAAATACTACCTAAATACATTTACCGATGTCATGGAACAAGAAAATCTTCCTGAATACATTTACCGATGTCATGGAACAGGAAAACCTTCTTTTATACATTTAACGATGGCATGGAACAGGAAAACCTTCTTTTATACATTTACCGATGTCATGGAACAAGAAAACCTTCCTAAATTCATTATCCGATGACATGGAACAAGAAAACCTTTCCAAATTTATTTACCGATGTCATGGTACAAGAAGACTTTTTCAAAGTCATTAGCCAGTGTCATGGTAAGAAGACCTATCTAAATACATAATAACATTAGCCGCTGTCATCTTGTGTTAACCGAACAGTGTAATGGTGAAATTTTGTCGAGATTGTTGCAATTTTGATTTCCCGTTGTTGATTTCGGTAGTTAGATAATGAAACAACTGATTTGGTTGTTGTTGTTTTTTTTCAGAATAATGTTTGCTTTTTCAGTTTTTTAATTGTCAATTATTATCTCTCAAAAAGTTATTTATTGTGTTTTTAAATGAATAATGGAATTTTCTGACAAATGTACTACTGTTTTAGTCTGATCGTACATACACTGAAAACAAATGAAAGCGGTTATCGAGCAGCCGTTCAAGTTCAGATTATACGCAGACAGTGTTTGTTCGTTGTTTGACATTTAAGGAGAAGATTGAATTTTGAGGTAAGGTTTTTTGAGGTGAGGTAAGAAGTCTCTCTCCACTCATGGAAATAAAACCAATCGAACAGTTCCATAGCTACAAGCTAGAGTTGGGCATTGCTGCCATTACGGTGTTAGACCTTTGGAATAATATTTTCCCAGAGTTATTTCTCTGAGAGACAGGACAAATTTTGAGGAAGGCTGGTCTTCTTTAAATGGCCATGGGATGTAAATGTCTAGGTAATGTTAAAATCTACCTTGGTTTATGTAGATTATCCGAATTACACTACTGCATGATGGCAGATATTGACAAGCTGTACTGAACAGAAAGTTGTTCACGTACCCTCACCTAAAATACAGTTACCGGTCTTGCCTATAGTCCATTCATCCTGTCCTATAGTAAATTACCTTCGCCAAGAGTACAAGTGCACTCGCCTATGATTAATTGCTCCCATCTTTAGTACACATTCACCTACAATACAGGTACCCTTGCTTATGGGACATTAACCCTCACCTATATTATAAGTACTCCTTTCAATGGGACATTAACCCTCACCTATATTATAAGTTCTCCTGCCTATGGAACATTAACCCTCACCTATATTATAAGTCCTCCTGCCTATGGAACATTAACCCTCGCCTATAGTATAAGTACTCCTGCCTATGGTGGAACATTTACCCTCACCTATAGTATAAGTTATCCTGCCTATGGAACATTTACCCTCCCCTATAGTATAAGTACTCCTGCCTATGAGACATTAACTCTCGCCTATAGTATAAGTACTCCTTTCTATGGAACATTAACCCTCACCTATATTATAAGTACTCCTTTCAATGGGACATTACCCCTCCCCTATATTATAATTTCCCCTGCCTATGGAACATTTACCCTCACCTATAGTATAAGTTCTCCTTTCAATGGGACATTATCCCTCACCTATATTATAATTTCTCCTGCCTATGGAACATTTACCCTCCCCTATAGTATAAGTACTCCTGCCTATGGGACATTAACCCTCACCTATACTATAAGTACTCCTTTCTATGGGACATTGACCCTCACCTATATTATAAGTACTCCTTTCTAGGGGACATTAACCCTCACCTATATTATAAGTACTCCTTTATATGGGACATTAACCCTCACCTATATTATAAGTCCTCCTGCCTATGGAACATTTACCCTAACCTATAGTATAAGTACTCCTTTCTATGGAACATTAACCCTCACCTATATTATAAGTCCTCCTTTCAATGGAACATTAACCCTCCCCTATAGTATAAGTCCTCCTGCCTATGGAACATTACCCCTCACCTATATTATAAGTACTCCTTTCAATGGAACATTAACCCTCCCCTATAGTATAAGTCCTCCTGCCTATGGAACATTACCCCTCACCTATATTATAAGTTCTCCTTTCAATGGAACATTAACCCTCCCCTATAGTATAAGTCCTCCTGCCTATGGAACATTACCCCTCACCTATATTATAAGTCCTCCTGCCTATGGAACATTAACCCTCACCTATATTATAAGTACTCCTTTCAATGGAACATTAACCCTCACCTATAGTATAAGTAGTCCTTTCTATGGGACATTAACCCTCACCTATATTATAAGTACTCCTTTCAATGGAACATTAACCCTCACCTATAGTATAAGTACTCCTGCCTATGGAACATTAACCCTCACCTATAGTATAAGTACTCCTGCCTATGAGACATTAACTCTCACCTATAGTATAAGTCCTCCTTTCTATGGGACATTAACCCTCACCTATACTATAAGTACTCCTTTCTATGGGACATTAACCCTCACCTATAGTATAAGTAATCCTTTCTATGGGACATTAACCCTCACCTATAGTATAAGTCCTCCTGCCTATGGGACATTAACCCTCACCTATAGTATAAGTCCTCCTGCCTATGGGACATTAACCCTCACCTATAGTATAAGTCCTCCTGCCTATGGGACATTAACCCTCACCTATAGTATAAGTCCTCCTGCCTATGGGACATTAACCCTCACCTATAGTATAAGTACTCCTGCCTATGGGATATTAAACCCCACCTATAGTATAAGTACTCCTGCCTATGGAACATTGACCCTCACCTATAGTATAAGTACTCCTGTCTATGGAACATTAACCCTCACCTATAGTATAAGAACTCCTGCCTATGGGACATAAACCCTCACCTATAGCATAAGTACTCTTTTCTATGGGACAGTAACCCTCACATAAAGTATAAGTACTCTTTTCTATGGGACATTAACCCTCACCTATAGTATAAGTACTCCTGCCTATGGGACATTAACCCTCACCTATAGGATAAGTACTCTTTTCTATGGGACATTAACCCTCCCCTATAGTATAAGTACTCCTGCCTATGGGACATTAACCCTCACCTATAGTATAAGTACTCCTCTCTATGGGACATTAATTCTCACCTATAATATAAGTACTCCTTTCAATGGGACAGTAACCTTCACCTATAGTATAAGTACTCCTGCCTATGGGACATTAACCCTCACCTATAGTATAAGTACTCCTCTCTATGGAACATTAACCCTCACCTATAGTATAAGTCCTCCTTTCTATGGCACATTAACCCTCACCTATGGTATAAGTCCTCCTGCCTATGGGACATTAACCCTCACCTATAGGATAAGTACTCTTTTCTATGGGACATTACCCCTCACCTATAGTATAAGTCCCCCTGCCTATGGGACATTAACCCTCACCTATAGGATAAGTCCTCTTTTCTATGGGACATTAACCCTCACCTAAAGTATAAGTACTCCTTTCTATGGGACATTAACCCCACACATATAGTATAAGTACTCCTGCCTATGGGACATTAACCCTCGCCTATAGTATAAGTACTCCTGCCTATGGGACATTAACCCCTCACCTATAGTATAAGTACCCCTGCCTATGGGACATTAACCCTCACCTATAGGATAAGTCCTCTTTTCTATGGGACATTAACCCTCACCTATGGTATAAGTACTCCTGCCTATGGAACATTAACCCTCCCCTATAGTATAAGTACTCCTGCCTATGGGACATTAAACCTCACCTATAGTATAAGTACTCCTGCCTATGAGACATTAACTCTCCCCTATAGTATAAGTACTCCTGCCTATGAGACATTAACTCTCACCTATAGTATAAGTACTCCTTTCTATGGGACAGTAACCCTCACCTATAGTATAAGTTCTCCTGCCTATGGGACATTAACCCTCACCTACAGTATAAGTACTCCTTTCTATGGGACATTAACCCCACACATATAGTATAAGTACTCCTGCCTATGGGACATTAACCCTCACCTACAGTATAAGTACTCCTTTCTATGGGACATTAACCCTCACCTATAGAATAAGCACTCCTTTCAATGGAACATTAACCCTCACCTATAGTATAAGTCCTCCTGCCTATGGGACATTAACCCTCACCTACAGTATAAGTACTCCTTTCTATGGGACATTAACCCCACACATATAGTATAAGTACTCCTGCCTATGGGACATTAACCTCACCTATAGTATAAGTACTCCTGCCTATGGAACATTGACCCTCACCTATAGTATAAGTACTCCTGTCTATGGGACAGTAACCCTCACCTATAGTATAAGTACTCCTGTCTATGGGACAGTAACCCTCCCCTATAGTATAAGTACTCCTGCCTATGGGACATTAACCCCTCACCTATAGTATAAGTACCCCTGCCTATGGGACATTAACCCTCACCTATAGGATAAGTACTCTTTTCTATGGGACATTAACCCTCACCTATAGTATAAGGACTCCTTTCAATGGAACATTAACCCTCACCTATAGTATAAGTCCTCCTTTCAATGGGACAGTAACCCTCACCTATAGTGTAAGTTTTCCTGTCTATGGGACATTAACCCCTCCCCTATAGTATAAGTACTCCTGCCTATGAGACATTAACTCTCCCCTATAGTATAAGTACTCCTGCCTATGAGACATTAACTCTCCCCTATAGTATAAGTACTCCTGCCTATGAGACATTAACTCTCCCCTATAGTATAAGTACTCCTTTCAATGGGACAGTAACCCTCACCTATAGTATAAGTTTTCCTGTCTATGGGACATTAACCCCTCACCTATAGTATAAGTACTCCTGCCTATGGGACATTAACCCTCACCTATAGTATAAGTCCCCCTGCCTATGGGACATTAACCCTCACCTATAGTATAAGTACTCCTATTTATGGTACATTTACCTTCACCTGCAGTATAAGTATTCTTGCCTATAATACCGTACATTCACCTAAAGTACAGTTATTATTGCCTATGGTACATTTGCCTTCACCAGTAGTATAAGTACCCTTGCTTATAATACCGTACATTCTCCTAAAGTACAGGTACTCTTGCCTATGGTACATTTACCTTCACCAATAATGCAGGTACCCTTGTCATTATTATGCTTAATCAATAACAACGTTTCTGACAGGATTGTACTCATCAAATGACGGGGAAATAAAGCATCGTGTCTTTCTCACGCGCTCGAGTTTCCCGAGTCGTATTTTTCTTTTTCTGAGCTTCTCAAGAAAACGTGAATTAACCACAACAAATCAGTTCCGAGCG